ATTCGTTGAAAGATTGGCTAGGGAGCAGAACATACGACGAATGGGATGACTTGATGGTCGATGTCAAGGCGGGGATCGCTTCCAAGGATAGAAAGTTCTTCAACTGTGGAATCCGATTGCCTAGCAAATGGGAAGTAGTGCTTGACTTAGATGACGGATACGTTCCAGAGTGGTTATTTGAACATGTGTTTGTTAAATATTTTTTATCGTTTCTTTGGACCCAATTTGAAAAAAAATCCGCATCAATTATGCATCAACCTAATACTAAACGCCGCATAACTCCTTGTCTTTGTCTTACTTGAAGTAACCCATCCGAGAAAGAATAGCTTGAATTATAAGATCATTCAGGAAAGAAAAGTCCACCGGCTTATGTGAAGGTCAAGGTGCAGGATGTTAACGACAATCAGCCTCGACTTGAAGGATCGGACAAATTCATCCGTATATCCGACAATAGACTCATAATGCCTTTCGTTGTTGAGGTAATGCTAACTTCTTTCCCCAGCGCTTATCCCTACGCTCCCGTTCAATCCCTTCCCAGAATCCCTATCCACGAGTCTTTCGTGAAAAAGTGGGAAAAGGGCATCAGAAACTAATGTTAAGAATTGTGATTTCATGTGACTGGAGTTGAGAAATAGAACTACTTGTTGTGCTACACTACTGTAGTGGTAAGCACTTCGTTGTGGAATTGGAAAAGGCACCGTTCCCTGTAAGGTGGAATGTTTGATTTCTGGTGAATTTCAAGAAACTGAAAACCACAGAAAGTATTTGGTTGGTTAAAAGCTGAATTAACCGATTCGAATGTAATAGGGAGTGAACGTTCCCAGATATTTTCTGTTTTTTTCGCCGTTTTCCTGGTTCACCAATCCCCTAGGAAAATTCAGCATTGAAAAGGCCAAAAAGGATTAATATCTTTCTTGAATTAAATATTTCTTTTTGGGTGGTCGATGCGGATGAACCAGCGACCAGCAAGAATCGTCTCACTTTATCTGGATCCGCCGCCAGCTTCTTGGATGTGAAAGAAATATCTGCGAACCTCTACCAGGTCTAATCATCTAAATGTACGAAGGTGGCCCCTATGTGACACCAAATTTACAGGTCGACGTCATCGGTTTTGCCCCAGTCGGTAACCACCAACTAGAATTCACTGTCACCGACGGCGAATCATCCAGCACGTTAACCGTCGAAGTACAAGTACAAGTGAGGCAAACAGACCAAGAGGAAATCCCAAAGGGACCTTTAAAGGCAATTATTTCAGAACACCAAATCCCGTGCTCATTTCAGAAGAACAAAGTATACGAGATCAATCAATGCAGAAAAAGTACATCAAGGTGGTTTCTTTTTCTCCAATTTCTTCCGCACAGCGGTAGCATACTTTTTGAAGGTAACCAGCTTCTCCAAGTGGAATTGGAAGGTGTTCCCATCGATGAGGCTCGTTTCATAATCCTTCACGGGAACCCAGGATGGCTTACCATCGATGACTATGGAGGACGCGTTGGAGTTGCAAAATTCATAAGGTTTTTTCTTTTTGCTAAGTCTCATATCCGCAGTACTTTCTCACAAAGGGCCAGTTTCGAGTGAACTCTGATTTATGAAAAAATTTCAGGCTCATTATGAAATGAAAGAGGAACCCAAATAAACGACCTCTATCTGCAGTTAGGATTTGTGGTAAATGAGAGAAGGCGTGATCTTAAAGGCACGGTTAACGATAAAAGTGGTTACTGAGTTCTCCCCTTAGGGATACTCAGTGGCCCCCTTGAGTGGTAGGAAGAACCCTCTCGCTCCCAAAATCTCGACGGTCAGGGCATAGCGGCAGTCCCGTTGCTGTCTTGGGTCGCTTCTCCGCCTCTCGATCGATGTCACGTCAGACGAGTGTCGAGACAATACAATTGCTATTATTCGTTCTAGGACCCACGCACAATCAGCTAATCGCCGAATGATGAGGCGATGTTTTCTCCCATTCTTTTTTCCTCTGTTATTCTTTTGCTGCCGCGATCCCTTATTCAATTTCCTACTCCTAGAGGCTGAAAAAGATGAGCTACTTTTGCTGCAACTAGACTTTTTCTGTCTACTTATACTTATGAGCGAATGAATTTTTGCTTACCATGGTCTGTTATTCGCACCACGACCCACACGCACGCAGTGAGACACATTGTACATATAGCTCGTCCAAATGCCCCACTCTTCTTCATTCATCTGGTCTCATTCTCGTCCAGCCCCCTTTTTAACGATTTCTTGAAGCCTTTTTTTCCACGCAGTTCCTCCTCCTCCATCGCACTATTTTCCATCTTATCTTCCATTTTTCGTTATAATCTGGGTTACCCAAAATTATCGTGAACTGTGCCTTTGAGCTCAACATCTAGAGGCCGGAAGAAGAGCCACTCAGCCGCTGGGACTTCCGGACCTCGTTTCGAAAAAGGCAGTAGAACTCATGGGATTTTAAAGAGCCGTGCGGAGTACACTTCTTTTAATTTTTCTTTTGTACGCGCTTAAGAAATGCGCCGTGAAGGCTTCAGCCAAAATGGCCACTTCATAACCTCGCTTTTAAGGTTCTGTCAGATATTGTTTTGTTAGGAGGGGGTTCTCTGCTGATCTCATCTGTCTCATTCTTGATACTTCTTTACAGTAGGAGCAACAACAGCCAAAAAAGATGGCCGAGTTTTACAAACTTCGAGTCAAAACTTGCATTACGAAGAAAATGGAAGGTTCCTGAGCTGTCGCTTTTATGTGAAAGTTTCTACTTGTACACGGTTGCTGGCTTCATCATACAAACAATTTACCGCTACCAACTAATGGCGCAGGCAGCAACGCAGCCGTAGCAGACGCCAGCAGCTCGCTCTCTGTCACAGGGTTGATCATCGTTCCTATTGATAGAAAACAGTTTGCGCTATGTGACTTGATGCTACGGATTTACCTTCTCCATTACGGAGTGTTTTCGGTCCTCAGAGTAGGTATGTAAGAGTAATGATGTTTCAGTCCAGTGGAATCTGGCACTTACCTGGTGGACATAGGAGCCGTTGACCGTCAGACCAACGCTCTATTAGCGCAAACTCAAGTGGAAATCAAAGTCGTGGGAGGGGCCGAACCAGACAAGAAAGTATTCACTAAACGTTTCTTCAAGCGAACCTTGGATCGCGGTTTGTTTTGCCTTACTGACTTCTCACTTACGTTTTTCAAGAAGCCTAACTTCAGAAGAATCAACCGATTTCTCTGTGCCGTTCAAGTTGAAGAAGTTAGCGACCGTTAGCGTGGGCTCAGTGTTGGCCATTGACGAGAACGGTCAACAAAGTGAGCTCAAAAAGGTGTGGCAGTTTGAATTGGATGTTTTTTAATGGCTACATAATCAGTCTTTTAGAGCGATGTCACCATACGAAAGCATTCCGTTGTATTTAAGAAGAGCTCTTTAGCTAACCTTCGAGTAGTTAGTGTGGATTTGCTGGCAAACGAAGAAAAGGGTATGGCACCTTATTGTATCCCAAATATCGCAATTTAAGCTTCTACACTGCTTATTGAACACGATGACTTTGAAAACTCATGAGTTCAAATTCTATGGAAAAGTGCCCAGGTGTTGTGATGACCATTTGTGCTAGTTGAACGGGTTCAATCACTGAATTTGTCTGGTGGCAGCACGAGAAAGCATAAAACTTTGCATGAATGCCTTCCCCTGGCGATACCGTCTTTAAATGAATCCACGACAACACAGAAAAAGATCAATAACTTCAATCACAGTAAGATAAGTTCGATAGGATCAACACAAGGTGAACTATTTGAGCTAACGGTAGCAAGTGGTAGTAGCAAGTAGCACATGCATGGTTCCCAGAATCCCGGATTGATACCAGCTCAGACCAACCTAGAATCCCATTCATCCGTGATCGATAATTTAGTGTCGATCTTGTATGGGAGAGGTGCATCACCGACTTGCGCGTTAGCTGGCTACCGCAATTCAGTGTAGTCATTACAATGCGCATCCAAAGTCACTACCGTTCTGAGTGGAGTTCGACTGCAGGGCGCATACCAAACGGAATTGGTTAACGCTGGGAGACTATCACTCCAGTCGGCGATGGAAAGGGCGATTTCTCTTGGTTTTGCTATTATGATGAGCCAATGAATTTTTACTATAATTATTTCCGAGTCCTTCCCTGGCAGGCTCGCGTAAGGTGACCTCATTCATTTATTTCCAGTATGGAAAGCTCGTATCCCCTCTTTGTGGATCTTACATTTGTATGGAGAAGAATGAAGAAAAAGAAATTATACGAAAAATGAAAAGTTATAACAAATTCAAGTGAGTAGACTAGCTAGGATAGTGAGCACGCCTATCGGTAAGGCGACATATCGGAAGCGGAAAGCGTTCGCAGAAGTAGTAAGCATAGTGGACATGGTGAAGGATGGCCAAGGTTAAACGATAAAGGATGAGCTCTTGGGACGTCGATGAATCCCATCAGATGCGCCCATACATTCGACCTCCATTCAGAATCATAGTGGCGTACTGAATGCGTGTGTGGCCCATACAATGGCTTGCGGTGGACATCCGATACAATTAACCGACTCCAGAAGGATAGAAGACTTGGTTGCCTTGGGCAGGTACCGATCCGAGAATCGAACCCGTGACCATGTGTGTGTGAAGTGTGCGACCTGCCACTAAACCATTTCCGGTTGGATGTCTACATAAAAAATAATAATAGAATTAGAGGCAAATTGAAAAAACGGAATCTTTAATGAACTGCAGTGTGAGAGAGGGTGTTTGAAGAGGCGGAACGGTAAAGAAAGAAAAGTTTCTAGACCGTAATAAAGCTCCCCGCCTGATACTGGCAGTTTATCAGTTTCCATTCTAGCAACGGTAATGCTTACACTGACGTCGTCACCACAATTCATAGAACATCAGCAAAAGGAGGCAGCGCGACCAATGTTCCCCAGACCATGGACCAGGGAGACTCCTACAATCGAGGTAGGATCCCTGTTTGACTTGAGTTGATCCTAGGATTATATACTCTCAATTCAGCTGAGCATTATGGAAGAGCTACCCAAGGGGCAGATTATATACGTACTACCAGCAGTCAATCCAGTTGATGGATCACTTGTTCCGGTGACAGTTGAGGGCGATATGAAGGAGGCCTTCGAACATGACCCAACAACAGGTAATGGTCCTGCTCTTATCAGTCATGCTTTCGAGTAACACTATTGAGTAACCTAGGAGCGATTTCGATTGTGCATCGCCTCGACGTGGACACCATGGCACCATCAGATCGTACTTTTTTGCTCAGATTCATAGCCGGTGACAGCGGTTACGAGTCGGTAGCAGAGCTGAAAATTACTGTTGAAAACAAGGATGACAACCCACCTGTCATAGAAAAAGAGGGTCTCAATAATGAGGTAGAGCTTACTGTTCAGGCATCAGTGCAAATTGTAATCAAGCTATGTTTCTAATCCGGATTTCTTTTTCTTCTCGTGGATGGCTCTCCATTTGTGACGCGAAGTTCCAGTCGTCTCAAAGAGTGGCAGTTCCTTATAGCAGGATATACTCCCATTCGTCTATTTGAAATCAGTCCAATAACTACCACACTTTATTCTTGTCCAGTAGTCGCATTGCAGATGAGATTTTGCAGATGAATGGAGGGCACAGTCCGGATAGTTGTTTGAGGTATCCCTTCAAAGTTGTAGAGCAGAAGTGTTGGTGAAGAATAGCCTGTTAGTGGTGAAGAAAGATTGCGTTGGGAGCTGACTAAATTGAGCCGAAAATAATCAAAATTGCCTTTCACTGTCGTCATTGGTCTCGTTCTAGGGATTTCCAAATGGGAATCCCCGGGGACGGTCAAGTCGTGCGTCCGAGGACGCGCGCAGTAAATTGTGTGGCGAAGTTCGTGACGATTTAAACGTCTCTAACACCTATTTTCGGGACACAAACTCAAAGTAGACTAGTTTAGCAGGGTTAGATTATCCTTCTAATTTACTTTACTTCGAATTTGGGCCCCAATGATGGGCGCTGAAGTCGTTCAAATCATTACGAACTTCGCCGCGCAATTTGCAGCGCGCATCCTCGGACGCACGACTTGACACATACCCGGAATCCCCAGAGGTGGTGCAGCCTCTACAATGCCGTTGGAACTCGTCCGCCGTGGGCGTTGCGTTCAGCCAATACAGCCTCTGAGCTCTTATTACGCCCTACCTAAGCCACATTCGGATCTGACAGCGCCACAAATGGTATATGGATACGCTGCACATCCATTAGAGGGAGATTTCTCAAAAACCATTGTCTGAGTCACAAAACTTATTTCTTGATAAGAAATGAAAGAGGCCAATAAAATAGCAATCCCTCTGTAAAAGTTATGGTTGTAAGAGAAATCTTTTCTTATCAGAGAACCTCAAGATTGCAGATTCCAATTCCTGAAAATCTTCCACCACACACAATTATCGCACGCCTCCAAGTCACGGATGAAGACAGATTAGGCAGCGTGGACGAGTTCTCCGTCGAGAAGTCGGGCATTGGCAGCGAGATGTATTCTGCTTCAATCGTACGAATTTACTTCTTTTAATCGTGTTTTTCTTAACTCATAGGTAATTTCAAGATAAACGGTTCATTGGTAGTAGCAGTGGCTGACAATGGAACCCTCGATCGTGAAGTAAGGGAGAGACATATGGTGCACATGATTGTCCGGGATGGAGCGGGAAATCAAGATTCGGCCGCGGTAAGCTTCCTTTCTTGGTGGTAGTTCAATTATTCAGGTAACGTTGATGGCAGGGCGAAAGAAGTCTGCGACTGCTTGCAGCTTTACATCGTACTTTTGGACATCAATGACAACGCCCCTCGTTTCACCCAAGACCAATACGCAATACAAGTGATCGACAACTGGCCTACAGGCATTGTGGTTGACCGCTTGAAGGCCACGGACATCGATGCAGGTGAAAACGGTCGCGTCACCTACTCGCTGGCTTCTGGAAGTACAAAATGTAAGTTATCAGGAAAATTCACGCGTTTGACATAGACCTTATAGCGGTTCGAGGCGCGCGATTTTTCGCCAAGTCTAGCATCATCAATCTTAGCAACGAATGCGTCAAAGATAGATTTGAACTCTCATATATTGCAGTCCTGTCAGTTATTGAGAGGAGGATGACAGGGGACAAATACATGAGGATAATCAAGTTGCAAAACTACAATCTTTGGCACTATCTTTATAAACACTCGTTGTCATTTTCATGTACAGGAACCGCACTAGTTTTCATCATACCTATAGCTATGTGCGGCCGATTATATATGGTAACGATACTAAAAGCTACGATCCACTAATAACATAGCAGCTACAAAGATT